AAATTATTCACAAATAGAGAAGGAAGCTGTAGCAATCATCTTCGCAGTAACGAGTGTCCATAGGTACGTCTATGGTAGACATTTTACTCTGCAGACGGATCACAAACCGTTAATAAAAATTTTTGGTTCAAAAAAAGGTCTACAGGTTTACACAGCAAATAGGCTACTTAAATGGGGAACGATTCTTCTGAACTACAATTTCAGATTGGAATATTTACCAACGAAAAGAATCGGGCACACGGATGGCCTGTCGAGACTTATACCAACAAAGAGCCATTGGAAGATACGGTAATCGCAGCCCTAAGAAATGACGAAGACATAAGGACAGTACTATGTTGTACAGTCAGAAACCTCCCAGTCACATTGCAAGACATAAAAAATGAAGCCAAAAATGATGAACTTATTAATGAAAAAAAAGCAAAAATAGCAGAAAAAATGAGCAAATTTCGGACAGCTTTTCTCTATGCGATAATGTGCTACTTTACAACGAAAGGGTTGTAATTCCCAAAACATTACAAAAGCGGATCCTAAAGGATTTCCACAGGGGACACCAGGGTAAAAATAAAATGAAGTCGCCAATGCGAAGCTATGTATATTGGAAGAATATGGACCAGGATATTACTCAGATGGTGGAAATGTGCAAGGGTTGTAATTTAGCAGCCAAAGCACCGCCAATCATACATAAGCCTTGGCCAGAGACTGGTCGTCCATGGTCAAGAATACATGCAGATTATGCAGGACCAATTGACGGGTTCTACTATTTAATCATAGTTGATAGCTACAGTAAATGACCGGAGGTGTTTCGTTGCAAAAATCTTACTACAGAAACGACCATAAATTTCCTCCACGAGCTATTCGCTCGGTTTGGTGTAGTGGAGTGCTTAGTAACAGATAAAGGAACGCAATTCACGTCAACAGACTTCCAAGAGTTTTGCGAAATTTATCAAGTAAAACATGTAAAATCACCACCCAAGATCAAATGGACAAGCGGAGAGATTCGTGGATACATACAAAAGAGCATTACGAAAAGCGTACGATGTGCCTACGGAGAAAGCATTACAGCAATTCCTACAGGTATATAGAATAACGCCAAATGCTACACCATCAACATTATCACCAGCAGAAGTCATGTTTGCTAGGAAAATCAGATCAGCGTTCGATAAATTACTACCAAGTAAAACAAAACAAATAACACAGTCCTACGCACCAAAAAGAAAATTACTCCCAGGAGAAAAAGTTTTTTTAAGGCATATAAAAATAATACCTCTTACTGGGAGCAAGGCATAATTGAGAAAAGAATTGGTAATATGACGTACATAGTACAAGGAAAAGATTCTCACACGGAAGACACGTAAACCAAATAAGGAAGAAACCGTTACAGGATGCTAATAGTCCACCTCAAAAAGAGGTATTGGACACGATTTTCGACACATTCGATATAAAAAGACCGCAAACAATGCCAGAACAAAGAAAATCGCCGAGAAAAAGAAAATTCACTGAACCTTTGGAAATAGATCCAAAGAAAAAAAGATATTAAAAAAAACACCGGCTACGCAAAAGCTTCAAAGGGGGGTGTTATGGGATCTTACCCATAATAATAATAATGGACTATTCCATACTTAATAAATACTGCGCCTCAGGAGTAGGCAATGAGTCAGTAGTTCAAGTAGAGTCAGTAGTTCAAGTCGAGTCAAGAGTCGAGTCAGAGGCAGTCCGAACAGAGTCGCGTTCAGACAATTACTGCAAGACATTGAAATAGTGATACTGGTCGAGACTACATTGTTCTCTCTACTAAACCTGATTGTTCATACTAACACTTCTACTTCTCTGTATATATTCCTGTTTGTAATATATCTGTGTTATTCCATACCTGTGTTCGAGTTCTTCTTTATTAGTTCTACCTTGGACTATCACCGTGGTACAAGGAACCGGACCATAACAATATTAGATATGGCTATGTTCATTTCTACTTGAGTGAATTACTCCGCCATTTCTGCAAATGGTCTTCGCTTAACGCCGCTAGGTAGTGTTGGATTCAAGACTATATAACGAGGAACATAGACCATCTTTCGCTTTTTCCTCCCCGTGTATTAACAACCATAACGGGACACCTGCTTTCAGGGGAAACACTCATCGAGCAGGCCGACGGCTTAATTTTATGCATCCACGTGGCGCAACACTCACTACAATTATGTGTACATATGTTTTTTGTCCCTTTTTTTTAGTTATCTGTACATACGTAAATATAATTTTCTCTTCTTTTGCGAGTCATGTTTTTCTTTACAATTTCGGGTATATGGATCTCATCAGCATGAAGTCAAATGTCATCGTGAAGATTTGAGCCTTGTTAAAAAAAATTGATCACGCCGTAGATTACGGTGATGGAAAATCCGGAATTTAGACAGAAAAGCCGGAGTGGAATCCTGAAGGATAATAACCTTCCGGTAACTCCTGCGGTCAATCCTGCCCCAAAATGTAATTCTCTGTATTCCATTGGATATTTATTGTCAGTATGGACAAGAGGTGGGGAGCATGTGGTCTGGGCAGCGCACAACCTCCCTATATCATCGGCCTGGAGAGGTCATTTCAGTCTTACCACCAAAGGACTGAAGAGTGCTACGGTTATTTCGGAAGGTAAACGGATCTTTGGTGTTCTTTATGGGCGCAAACGCACATGCACGCATACATACACTAAAAAAAAACTTGCAACAATGAAAAGTGCATATAAAAAAACGAAAAATCGAGAAGTATAAGTAGTCAATTGCTGATATTCCCTGACGAGTGAACGGAGTGATTCCCGCAGAGTACGTCTATGATTTCTAGAATTACGTCCAAACAACTCAATTTTGGTTTCCTCTGTCCATAATACTCTTTCCAAATACGATTTTTCCTTATCCTTATGTTCACAAACGAATTTCAACCTGGCATCTTTGTGGCACAAGACCGAAATTATGGAGCATCCAGTGAGGATCGAACTCACTACTCAGTCGTAATTGTTCTAGCGAGACACGCTTGCTCATCATTACATCACGTCGAGGTGCCCCACTGTGTACAGGTTATGAGTAATACAGTACTCTAGCCAAATACATCGGTGTGTATGTGGAGGGAGTCGTGTGTGTGTTTGTGTGGGGGGAGTTGCGTATGTGAGTTAAGTCGTGTGTAAAATTAATTCATTTCGTTCTACCACCTTTATTCCACATCTAGAGAAAGACATAAATCCATATACCTACGCTCTGGCACATCGCTGGATATTTTGAGACGCAAAAATGTCTTGCCTCTGCCACGCAAAAAAAAATGTCTTGCGTCTGCAATGGTTCATCGAATAAACAGTGAGTGAGGATTTGTACAAACCACTCTCCCATAATTTACGCACCAGGTAGTGATAATTTTAAAGAATTGTTACGCCAATTGTCTGCCTTGACAGGAGCTAGTTAAAACTCAAAAAATCAATTACTGAGATGAAGTTTTATCTTTTAATCGCATTCACGATCGACTTGTTGCCATCTTGGGTTTCCAAATGTTGCAGAGAAAAATGTGTTTCCTTAAAATTCACATAATCCGATAAACGCGAGAAAACGCAAATAAACCTGACTGACAAATACTTCTTTAATCTTCTTAATTGAATTTAATTTAAATTGCTTTTTATCGAAACTCCAACAGGAATATCATCTCTGAGAAGAAAGCTGTTATAAAAAAATTCCCACAACTATAGTCAACTACGAAGATTTATTGGCATGATAAATTACTATCAAAGATTTTTGCCACACTCTTCATGAAACACTAAACACTGACAGACATATTAAAAAGCAATCAAAAAAAGAATGCAAAAGTTTTACTTCAAGGTCCTGTTTTAGACGATTTTAGTTTTCATGAAGCAAAGAACGCCTTGGTGAAGTTCGGAAAACTAAATTGCTTAATGATGAAAGCGCCGTGCTAACTTTATTAACAGATGCCTCATCGAACGCTATAGGTGTCGTTTTACAGTAAAATATGAACCTAGAAAACAAACCTATATCCTTCTCTCTCAAGCTAAATTCCCCACAGATGAAATACAGCACATTTTCGAGAGAACTTCTCGCTAGCTATTTAGCTATTCGACATTTCCGTTATATTTTAGAGGAACGCGAATTTACGGTACTGACCATAAACCACACACTTATGCCCTCTACAACAATCCTGACATATATTCGCAGCGTGAAACAAGACATCGCGACTACATTTCACAATTTACTTCAGACCTACAATATATAAAAAGTGAAGAAGATATTGTTGCAGATACACTTACCCGTACTTCCATATCTTCAATAAATGCTAAAAGTTTAATCTACAAGACTATCGCCGAGGAAAAAAAAAAAAACTCTATACTTTTGCAAGTCAAAGAAGATAATTCACTGCAACTTGAAAATTTATCCATCCCTTTCGGACATTCGACTGTCTTATGTGATATGAAAAAAGGTTACCCTTCACCTTATATACCTTGTCGGAGTTAACTCCTCCTTCAGTTCGTAACCCTTTCACCAGGGGTCTCTCTTTCCTGGCTATAAATAGCCAATGACCCTTCGCCTCGATCTCTTTTTTCCTTTCAGGCCTGTGCACTGACACCTCGAGGTAAATTTCTCTTATTCCTAGAGGATTTCAACTATCAACCTCGAAATGTAGTCGCTAACAAGGAATAGCGTGGAAACACGCCAGCACAATATACACACGCACGCACACACAGAATATTCACACGCACGCACATACAGAATATTCACACACTTCGTCCTTTGTACTGTTTCCATGTATTGTAACTTGTTATTAATATATATTTGTATATACATATATTATCGGTCTTGTTTTGTTTGCTTTCTTTTCCTTCTTCTTTGGACTTAATCAAAGTCCAACCTTTTTATGTAGTTGGGCTCGGCGGGCAGGAGTATCTGAACCTTGCATTTCTTCTACGTCTGACTTCTATCGACAACAAGTGGCAACCGCCATTCCCACAACAAACCGTAACCGCCATGGCCTCACCACAACCTCCATCGTTACGTAAAATTTTTTTCAACCACCTTTATTAAAACCTGGTAGACGAGCAACCACCAAGGTGATAACAGACCAATTTGTATGGCCAAACATGTCTACTGACATAAAAACTTTGACGGAGCAACGCATTCAGTGCCAAAAACACAAAATTGGTAAATTCCAGAGATTCGACGGTAGGTTCATTCATTTGCACATAAACATTGTGAGGCCCCTCCCAAATGCACATAGTTTCATTTATATGTTCACCATAGTGGATCGATTTAGTTGATGGCCTGCTGCCTTTCCTATTAGAAATTGTTTCAAAAGTTGTACTGGACAACTGGATATTTTGAGTGCCATCTGTGATTACTACTGACAGAGGATTACAGTTTCAATACATACATTTCAAGGAATTTGTCAGCCTTGATGTGTGGCCAAACAATCTTTTATACCTGCAGATCTACATAACTGCGAATATGTTTTTCTCGTGAATGACCATGGTTAAGAAATCATTATTCCCAAATTATTCAAGTCCACATAAAGTGTTGAAACGACATCGAATATATTTTACCATTTTAAAAAACAAAAAAAACAAAAAAAAAAGCACCGTATCAATTGATCGTTTAAAACCTGCTTACATCTAAAAAAAAAAAATCACACAAACGCCTGACACAAATCAAGGCAAGCCAACAGATAACATGCCCTCACCTAAAATCTAAATACCTTCAACAATAGCAAGTCAGATTTCATAAAAGAATCTTCAATCGGGGGCGGGGATTACTTCTCCCTGATTTAATAAAATCTCACTGCGGCGAGATTTTAGAATTATCGCCGCCTGACGATTTATAGGCGGCGCGAGATTTGAAATACTCAATCTCTTTCTCGGTGACTTTTCATAGCGAAAAGACGTATTCTTTTCGCTCCTGCAAAATGTAAGTAATCAACTACAGACATTTAAAGTTGCTTTGAACTTTTCGCATTTCATTTCATTTCTCATCTTTTCTTTTGTAAAATGTCCTGACAATATATTTGTTAATATTTCTTTGTTGAAATTCTATGTCTTATTATTCCATTGGATTTATATGAGTCCGCCAAAATTATTAGCGAGCCAAATATAACTTCTCATCAAAAGAATATATATCCACTACATAATAAAGAAATGTCTGTGGAGAGTCATTATCATCTACGTTTTGAAGGGGCATAGCATTAAAAAAAATATTACTAGTGAATAAAAGGGCAACAGAAATAAGAAGAAAAATGTAGAAAAAATTAATTGACATTGTTTTAATTGGGAAAAGTTTTTTAAAAATCTTGAGATTATAATTTGGTAGAAACTATGTACCGTGTTAAAAAAATATTAACAAAAGTTAATAAGTATTTTAACAGAGGACAGAAAATGCAACATCAAAATCCGATGACACGTCGGAATAGAAACAGATGCCTTTCAAAAGTTAAGCAAAGTATTAAGAATCAGGAAAATTTAGTTAGAAACAAAATGTACTGAACTGTTACGTAAAATAGGTCCTCCTATATGGTAATGAATGCTGGTCAATCTTTTCGTAGATGAAGAAGAATCTTGATGCAACAGAAATGTGGTTCTACAGAAGGATGCTGAGAATGGCATCGACTGAACATGCGAGTAACGAGGAAGTTTTAAGGAAAATAGAGGAAAAAGGGATGCTTATATTTAGAATCAGAAAGAGACAGTTGGAATTTCTAGGAGGCATAAATATGACGTCTACCTCGGCCGCTCTGTATTCAAGCTCGATCCCCTCGGCTGATCATAGAATTGATCGCTTCGATCCAAGTCTTGTATCGCCCCACGTTGTGTTAAGTCATAGCAAGAGTGGCTTGGTCCGAAAGGTCGAGTGGAATCGATGACTTGGTTGGGTCCGGTCTGAATAAAGTCACACGAAAGAAAAAAAAATATAAATTGGATAAAAGAAAAGAAAGGTATTTATATACAGTTCCTTGATACAAAGTTGATAGTACAGTTACTAATGGCTTAAGCAGGCCTATGTTCTCCATGCAATAACTATTGGTCCTTCCTGATTATCGTGACACACTTTTGGAACAAGGCTTCAAATCGGAGGCTTCTCCTCAGGGCGGCAAATCACATGAGATCAGGCGAAGCAGTGGTTCTCGTCTCTCCGTTCGGTCTCGTCTCCGCAGTCTCTCTGCTGTATCTCTACCGTGTCTCCCTGCAGTGTCTATCCTCATCTACTCGGCGTCTGTTTTTATTGATACCTGCGCAAAGGCTAGGTTGGGGCATGATGTGATCTGGGAATGCCAGCGTTCCCCAAGCAACCAATCAGAACTCTCCTTGCAAATGACAAATATGCGGGAGCCCCTCCTCCATCCTTGGAATTCTACCTGGGCCTTCTCCTTCTTTCGGTCACCTGATCAAACCCGTCTCCTTCTTGCTTTGTGTGAGTGCCTCTCACCATCATTGTCCAATTGGGCATGGAAAGTCTTTCGCCTTTCCTGAAATTTCACATGCGCCTTTTCCTCTTTGGCCACCTGATCAAACTCGTCTCCCAACGGCTAGTCGTTGTCAAGCCCAAACGGCCCAATTTTAATTATCTTCTATTTCTATTTTCTTTCGTCTGGTCATCAGTATATCTTCAGTCTATCGGAAATTAGTGTTTTTCTGTCTTCTATTTTTTTCAATTTACTAGCACCTTTCCAATGCTGTCATGTCATGAGAAAAGAAGGCTTGAAGAATTTAACACTCATATGATATATTGAAGATAAAAGGGACATAAAAAAAATCAGCGTGTAACTTACTTAACGATCTTGTGTAAATGGATGACAGAATAGGGATGGCGAAAAGACAAACTTTCATAAGAACTACAAAGTATAAGAAGTTGTGGAGAGCTATGGTCGCCCACGTTCTGAAGGGACACGGCACATTGAAGAAGAATAAATTTGTCCAATAAATAGACGGTGTTCGGGCGCGAGCAATTTTCATTTCTTTCAGATGATTATGTGAGTGGCGAAAAGAAAAATAACAGGAAAACGTTCAACTATCGCATATATACACGCATTGTAAAAAAGAGATGGAAAAGGAGAGACAGAATGATAGAGAGAGGAAGAGAGAGAGTGCGGGCGAGAACGAGAAGTATCAGACTATGAAAGAAAAGTAGAAAATAAGAATGAAAGATCCACGACGTGAGAAAGAGCATGTGAGAAACAAGGAAGGGTTGAGGAGAACAGGTTGTACAAAGAAACTGCTACTAACAACCAGAATGAAGTAGCAGAAAGTTTTGGAACACATGACAAGGAAAGAAAGCTTGGAGAATTCAACACACATAGTTCATACAGAAGGCAAAACAGCGAATAAACTACTTATCGAACTTAAGTAAATGGATAGTAAAACAAAAACCGCCAACACCTTACCCGGTATTCGCTTGAGACTCGGTGGCCAGGCATTACTTCCCTTGTAGAGAAGGCTGGAATTATTACCTGAGGTGTCCTCAAAGAGGAAGCACAAAAGGGGCTTGAGCCATTTTTGAATTGACGGCTACCAAATCCCACTTTAAACTTGACCTTCTGTTACATTTTGTATGACGTGGACGTACAAATAAATGCTACCTTATCTAGCCTTCCGGATCGGATGAAAGTGTAGTATCAGTTCTCTATTCCCCTTAAAATTTTAAGCCTGAGGCAGCACCACCCTTATTGCACTAAAGAAAGATCTTTAGTGGGTACAGACACCAGCGGGAAGTGTGCATTTTTGTCTTTGGGGCATGTGTTCGCGCTATGTTAGGTGATGTGGGTAAAGACCTACCACAAACACTTTACCTGAAATTCGGGCTGGGATAAAAGTGTAGAATCTGTTCTCCTTTCTGTCACATTTATGCCTTCACGCAGCTCACAGAGAAAGCTTTGAGTGAAGCCTGGCCCAGGGTATTCCAATCTCGCAGTTGTATCTCCCACAATGCACTAAAGAGTTGATAGATACTGACGCCAGAGTGACTGTGGTCGCGAAGATTGGGCAATATTTGCCTATATGTACGCGTATGGACAACTCTGTTTAAACCGATTTTTGCCACATCCTATGCCCGTGGGGAGGCGGGTAATTATCAAAGACAAAGAGATGTGGCAAAGCAACCAGAGTTACTTAAAACAACAAAAAATAGCAAGTTGCAAAGAGCTATGACTGTCTACGCACACATACTTAATATAAATGTATAAATATGTGTGAGATTATGAGTAAGTATATATCTCATGGTAGAAGAGTTTTTTTTACTTATCTTTGAGACATTGTACCAGAATAAGAAAAGTTTAGTAAATAATCTATCGCAAGTAAAGAAAGTTGGTTCTCTGTGTCATGCCAAAAAGTTCTTCTCGCCTGAGTCCATCCTTCAAATCTATAAATCAAACATTCGTCTTTGCATGGAATACCGCTGCCATATATTGTCTGGTGTCTCCGCTGTTCGTTTCGAGGTCCTCGAAAAAAATCCAGAGACGGTCCTGCAATGTGGTAGGTCCTGATCTGGCATCTCGTCGACAGTCACTTTCTCACAGATGTGCCGTGGTTTGCTTCTGTCTTTTCTACAAGTATTTTCACGGCAACTGCTCCGACGAGCTTCTTTCGCTGGTTCCCAAACCGCATGAATTTAAGCGTGCTACTAGGTTGGCATCTTGTACCCACCCTTTCACTGTCGAAATGGTTCAATGTAGCTGTCTCTTCTACTCCAACAGCCTTTTACCTCGCACTTCCCGTCTGTGGGACTCCCTTCCTCTTACTTGCTTCCCTGATAGCTATAATCTTCAAATATTCAAATGTAATGTGAATCGGCATCTTCTGTGCCTTGAGCTTGTCCCCCGTCCTTCTCTTTATCCTTTCCTCAAACACGCCTCTTTACTTTTGCTCTCTCTCTCTCTCTCTCTCTCTCTCTCTCTCTCTGTAACCCCTTGCGTGCTAGTGGCACTTCTACCTTGCTTGGGGTGAAATGCTTAAAAATTTTTTTTAAATAAAAATCGCCCCCGAAGTTGTAATATTTAACAAGTTTGTGTCACGAAGCAAATTCGTTCGAATGACGAGGTTTTAGGGCGGTGATAGGATTAACGAGTTGGCAACAGTTCGCGCGAACCGTTGACTGAAATTTCACAAGTTTGCAAAACTTGTTTATTTGCTTGTTCATTGGTTTATATCCATCGACAAAAATCTTGGTATATAAAAGATGAAGAAAGAATTAAATTAATTAATTAATGAAGAAAGAATTTAATTAATTAATTAAAAATTTGGGATGTGAAAAAAAAGAGAACCCGTTCCTCAAAAAATGTGAAATTCCACCACTGTTCTGGAGGTATTTCATGGAAGTTAAAGATTATGTGTTGGTGTACATTGTAGGTATGGTGCCTGCTCTCATGTAAACGATTAAAGAAGACACATGCAAAAATTTTAGTTTCTACCACGGACCGTTTATTATTCTCTCTTTTATATAAACTGTAGTGAAACAAAGTTCTCAATGCCAGAAATTAGGGCAAGAAAGGTATAGGTATCATTATAATGGGCGAGATCAAGTCAGCTTTGCGCTGAGTTGAAACGACCAAAGAAAAGGTTGATTGATTTTATAGGTGGCGGTTTTGTAAGACACGTTCGAACGCTATGCGTTGAAAAGTTGAGAAAGAATTCAGTAGTCAGTGGACCGGGTAAACGTACGTACTCCAGCGGGGGCATCCTTTATTACACGTGGTGCTACATTTTGGAGCAAGAGGGAAAAAAGAGAATGAAAGAACAAAATGTTTGTCACTTTATAGACTTAAAGAGCGCCACCTGATGACGTTTGACTAAGCCAAGTAGAACACCAAAAATCCCGGTTCCTTTATTACTAGCATCATGAGAAATGTATTTCCTTTTCTTTTTTTATTATTCATTATTATTATTTTATTCATTGATTTTATTTAATTTTCCTACAATGGCCTTTATGTCAAATACATCTTATTGACAAAGTTCAAAATATTTTTTCAAATGCATTCACATCACAAATTCTTGTATAAGCGTAACACATAAAAAGAACGCAAGAACAAAAAAAGAAAGAAAGTTAGCAATAATCTCTTCACGTGTAAAAGAAGAATATGTTATTAGCCACAGGTTTTAATAATAATAATAATAACAATGCACACACATATATATATATAGACTTGATGGTAAAATTTTGATTTTTCGCTTAATATAATCTTTGTTATTTCGCCAAAATTTGAGCTGGAAAAATAAAAATAATAATAATTAAAAACGCATTTAAAACTTTTAAAATATCTTCTTTTAGTAGATTTTTGGTTCTTTTTGAAAGATAATAGCCTAAAAATAATCTATAAAAAAAAGAAAAATAATTTTACACATTTCAATAAGGTTTTAAGACATTTTTAAAAGTTTTGCAAACAATTTATTATCGATCTGCCATTTTAATTGAAAAATGATAACAGAAAATTTAAGACACTTTAAAAACTCTTAAAAATTAAATATCTATCCTGGATATAAGTTTCAAAGAAAATTAGTAAAATGAATTATTAATTAACAGATTTTTGGAAAAATGCTAATTACTGTACGCTTAAAATATAAATTTTCTCCCGGTTGTGAAAGCTTTCTGATTGGTTGAACTATGGCTTTGTTTGCCTAGTGATTTTTATTATCCGTCTATTTTTAGAGATGGTGAAATATTGATTTCTTGTTATTTATCTTTATTTATTTCTCTATCAGCATAATATAGCTAATGGTGAGGTAATTCAGAACTATTGAATTATTTTCTATTTGATCTATACAAAAATAATCTAACAGTTGTGAAAATAATAAATAAAATTCTTTTAAAAATATTCCTGATGCAAAAATGGCATCAAACTTTACATTTTTCGATTCTTCAAACACATCTTTATTTGATATATATATAAAAAAGATCTCTTTCGTCATCAGCAGTCGGAAGAATTTTAAAATCATACTGAAAAAAAACAAAAAAAAACGAAGTAAATTTTCCAAAAATAAATATTCGTTGTAGACTTTTTCCCTGTCAAATTTAAGAGAAAATAATGTTTTATTAAAATATGCAAGCACCAAAATTATTTTTTGGAATTTTATTGAATTACTGTGGTAAAGTTTCAGGATAAATTTTCAATATTTTCATATTGCAAAATTTTTTTGCTGAAATAATATCTTCAGGGATTTTTCTTTGTAAAATTATAAAATACAATATATTTGTCACCATCCCTAATTTTAAAAGTATTCACAATGCATCGAATTGGGAGGTGTAAATTGACTCCACCATCATTTTTTTCTAATAAAATAAACTATTCGGTATACAATTTATTCATTAATGAATAATTTCTTAAAATTTGATTTAAATCGAATAACTCCCTAAATTTTGTTAAACTTTTAAATACAAGGGGTGGCGTTTTTTGCTTTCATTTTGGAAAATAACGCATCTGTTTTTTTAACATTTAGCGGTACTTACGTGTGTGAGTGATGTTCCTTCAGTATGTGGCAAAATCTTTCCACAAATTACTTTTCTTTATAAAATGTAAAGTGGCATGACGTTTTTGGGAAGATAGTGGTGTGGTTTACCGTTGCCTTCTCCAGAGTTTGGAATTCAGACGAATCATATTCCTAGAGTGGCTGCCACCCAATGTGAAAGAGCCTAGACCCCCTGTTATTTAACCTGTGGCTGGTGGGGACAGAGAAGAAAACGGGTTCATCCCTTTCCCAAAAGTATTTATGCGAAAGTGAATGAACAGACGATGCGGGAATTTGAACACGGCTCGTCGATCCTATTTTCCACGGCGGTATCAGTTGAGCTACCGACCCACACAAAAAGAATATTCGTCCACCTAAACCAGTACGGTGAGAGGAGGTTTAATAATCCATTTTATTTTCTTATAATCCATAATGAAAGGGATGATTTATCCTCTTTCCAAAACTAATCGAGGGAGGAAGATGTTACATTTTCCGTAAAAACCTGTTTCAATTGTTAAATAAATACTTAGCTTTTTTTTCTTTTTTGAATCATTAGAGCGCATTTACCTACGCCACCCGGACCTTTTCCAGCAATTTTTTCTTTACATTCAGAAGATTTGCAAATCCTGCAATGATTTTTGTTTTAAAGAAGTGGGAAAATAATGTGATCCAATAATTTAATCATGCTTGTTGGCACCGTTTACTTTAAATTTTCAACGGTAAACCGTGAACCTGGAAATACAGTGTAACCCGGATATAAGAGACCCGGATATAAGAGAAACCCGAATATAAGAGAGATTTTCTCTGGTCCCAAATTGTAGCCTGTGTTAATGTATATAAAATAGACCAAACCCGGATATAAGAGAAACCCGGATATAAGAGAATTCTTCTCCGGTCCCGACAACTCTCTTATATCCGGGTTACACTGAGTTGTCGATAAAAAATGGGGTAACACTTCAAAGAAACCTTAAAAATTTAATTTTCGTTGTTTTAAATAAGTTCAAGTATTATCATTTAACTATTTAACAAAAATTTTAACGAATTCAAAATTACAAACATAAATTAGAGAAAAAGAAACCTTTAATTTCGTATTTACAATTTTATTTATTTTTATCGTATTCATTCAACAAAAAAAGGCTTCCTTCGGATGTTATTTGCCTTCCTTTCTACAGGTTGGAGGTTCGAATCACGACAAAATTTACTCATGTTGTTCCTCAGTTAGAAGGCGAAACGGAAGAATAAGAATATTTTTCCTTGAGTTATTTGTTATTATAAGATTTTTTTTAAAAGTAACTATAGTATATTCAAATTTGATTAATAAATTTGGTTGAAGCAATTCCACTACTGACGTCAGTATGGCTTCAACAAAAAAAAAAAAAAATAACTAAAACAAAAATAAACTTAAAACAAAATAGTTACTACATTATTTCATACAGAATCCAAGAATTCTACCAATTTTACTAGTTTTTAGTTACAATGATATGTCCTTTTTTAGTCGCAAGTATAAAAAAAGTTTCAACCATTTTTTATCCATATCCTTTTGTCGTCAGATTTTTAGCCCTTTTATTCCTTTTAAACTTTATTTGTGAATTATAATTTTGGAAAGTAAAAATTTCATTGAAATATATTGAAAAATTTCCAAATATTCACCCGAAATCAAGAGGAATCTTAAGCAAATGGTCACAATAAGAAAAAAGCGTCTGTTTTTAAAGTAGTAAAGTAGTAAACACGGATATGGATTTTGCAAATTGAGTACTACTAATCTTGCGCAAAAAGTAAGCAATTTGAGTACTTGTCAAAAACCTAACTTGCTTATTTTTGAAAAATCGTGTACTGAAATGAAATATTCAAACTTATGGAAGCAAAGTAAGAACAAGTTGAATATATAGATAGATTTAAAAAAAAAATTGACTATGGAAAGAATGGGTACGAATTAAATGAAGAAAGATCAAACAAAATTAAAATTTTTTATTTGATGAGTTTTAAACTAAACACCAGTTGTATCTAGTATCTCTTGCTGAAGATCAAATGACATATAATTCAACACTTTCCTCAGTATTCTTGCTTATTTAATTATTTAATACCAGAGATATTGCCCACTATCAGAGAATAAAATTGAAAGATTTTTTTTTCAAGCCTTAGCAAGACAAGACTAAGAGTATTTTCCACCGGCGTCTGTGGTCGGTATTCGAGACTCAAAAAGCCAATTTGCTAGTGATTCTCACTAGGTACCCTACGATACGAACCTCATGAAAAACTAAAAAAAAAAAAATGATCTGAGTGTTGAGTGAAGTTGTGCGCGTAAAACTACCTGGGGTTATGTTCAAACAAACCATGATTTCAAGGTAGGTTTTGCCGCGGCTTTGCCCACTTGTTAAATCGGCCTAACACAGTCTTCCTATATCTGTATTTTATTTTTACTCTTTCAGTATGCTGTACTAAACTAAGCTGAATTAGTAGCCTTATAACTTTCATATTCTCCATATCTGTTAGTGTTCTTTTATCCGCCAATAATTCTGTCTCGTAAAAGCGGGAAGCATTCTGACATAAGATCGAGAAGGGAAAGAAAGCGCTTCTTGTGGAAACAGGTTGCGAGTTCAAATTTTATTTGGGAATTATTTCTTTTGTTAAGATTTTACCTTTTAATTGCTTCGTCTTTTTATTTATTTATTATTAGTCATTGTGATCATTATTTATATCTACAACACAACAATCGCTACTGCTGCTACTAGTACTGTAAATGGCTAACCACAATGAATTCGCCACCATCCTCGTTTTCGTCAAAGACTCTGTGGATGCGTCGCTATGTTATGACTAGTGGTAAAGAACCTAATTGCGCTTACTACAGTACTGTACACACACACAGACACACACAGTTATTATTTTGTCGGCAACATCTTTCTTCTTTCTTTCCCCAACTCAGTGCGATGATGATGGTAAAAGAAGTCGGAAGCTTCCCTCTCCAGCCTCTGATGTATGTAAATGTGTATTATTCTTTTTTTTAATTATGCGATGTATATGTAATGTAGCTAACTATAACAAACTATTTTTTTTAGCCAGATTTAAACAGTAAATATCTTTTTTTAGATGATCACTTTTATTTTTATATTAATTTTTACACAAAACAAGGAACAACCAGACAGGTACCCACTTGACTCCCGCTGTTTTTCAAAAGGCAAATGATTTTTGACGGAGGGTGGGGAGATTTGTAACAAACAACATGTCTTAACTTAAGTACATAAAGGCCGTTGTTAGCATTTACGTCAGACAGCAGCAATTAAGACCATCGTCTACAACACATAAAAAAACACATACTTCGCACATACGAATTTAGTACGATCTGACTTATATACACCCGTTTCGGTGTACAATAACGTAAGAAGATACACACCTGTAATTTTTTTTTTTACTTATTATACATAAACAGATATACACGGAAAACACAAACAAATTTGACATAACACACGTTCACACACAGTCATGCACCAACCCAAGAAACCCGGCGATTATTTTTTTTTACCTGTCTACCTATGCATTTATTACCATATTTTACCTGTCATGACATAAATAATTATGTAACATGTTTAAAAGGATTCATTGTAATAACTTGACGTATTATTTTATCTCTAGCTATTTTTAGTAATAAAAACAAAACTAACAAAAAACTAAAAAAGAAAGGTAATTAAAATTAAATTCATACATTGTTTTTCTTCCTTTCTGTATTTAACATTTTAACTGCACTTACACTGCAGCTATATTTCGAAAAGCCCAAATTCCATTACCTAGAAAAATAAAACAAAACTGATTACTTAACTAAAACTTGATTTAAAAAGAAGAGTACCTTTTTGGAGTCTTCAAACACATCCTTAAAGACTTTATTTGATAAAAAAAAAATCTCTTTTGTCATCAGCAATCGGAAAAATTACAAATTTCCCCAAAATAATTATTCGTTATAGATTTTTGATTGAAAATAATGTTTTAGTTTTAAGCACCAACTCTCAACAAAAATGATTTTTTTTTTTGAGTTTTATTGAGTTACTTTGGTAAGGTTTCAGCAGGACAAATTTTCTATGTTTTCAATAATGCAAAAAATATTTGCTGAAATAATATCTTTAGTGATTTTTCTTTGTAAAACTATAATATATTTGTCGTCATCCCTAATTTTAAAAGTATTTATTCACAATGTATCGAATTGGGAGGGTTTTCTAGTAAAATTTAAATAACCTATTATTCAGTATATAATTAATTTATTCAATGAATAATTCCTTAAAATATCGTTTTTAAATCGAATATTTCCCTGGATTTTGTTAAATTTTTAAAAAGTGGGGTAGCGAATTTTTGCTTTCATTTCGGGGAAAAAAAATGCATCCATTTTTTGGCGGTACCTATTTTTATTTTAAAAAATGTCAAAATTCTATTACCTAATGTAGAAAAAAATAAAACTGACTACAAAACTTGACTTAAAAAGAAGAGTGCCTTGAATTTGGCAGTTATCTGTCTTCTGCTTCCAATAAATAACTAAAGGAAATAAAATTCAAACAGGAGTCACTGGCTAACAACTGTCAGTTTTACTTTTAACTCAACTTAATTTTCTTTCTCGTTAAATCCCGATTGACCAACTGTAATTCAACATAAATCTAAAAACCGTTTATTTTATTTATTTATTTACTTTTTATAGTAGTGTTCAAGATGAACTGGATCAACTAAAAGTAAAACCGTTTCATATATGACCAAAATAAATAATTTAATTAAATACTAAATATAGTCATCTTGTCCATGAAACAAAGTAAATCATATAAATGAAGAATTTTCCAAAAAATAACTTCTTTACAGTCCTTTTTTTTTTTTTTTCTTTTTTTTGACATTTCTCTGAGGCAGTATAAGGACCATTTCTTCAAATGACCATTGCCTTTTCACCCAGAATACCGCTCCGTACTATGTTTAAAAACAGTTTATTTAATTTTAATTACAAATTAGTAGATATAATGTAATTGTAAAAATTACTAGCGAATTTTCCGAAGAACGGAATGGTTAGTATACTTTCTGACTTTGTCAAGTGCGAATGCTTGAAAGAAAGAGGGATTTTTGACATTTTAAAATGGGATCAATTTTTATGTTCCAATTGTGACTCATATGAAAGAAAGCAAGTGCAGAATCGATGAACCCATACAGATTGTTTTGACAATAAACCAAAATAAATACATACAAAATTAAAAATTATAATTAAATTTCTAGTTTTTGTTTTTAAATTTTATTCAATTTTTTGTTCAATAACTAAATTTATTAATTGTGAAAACTGAAAATTGTAGTCTACATTTCAAACAGTTGTTTGTAACGTAGGCCACAATTTTCGCAGCAAGTCACCAGCAAAAGGGGATATTGTCAATTATTCTATTATAATTATTCGGTTTGTTCTTTTATTTATAAAATATAAAGAGAATTTTATGATAATTCTTTCTCAATATCAGTCTTTCAATATTTGGTTTATATTTTTTACCAGGGTTTACTTTGGGAGGAAAAATATTTCAGTCTTTGTTGAAATGAAATAATAACCTTTTTTTTTTTTTGTTATTAACAAAAAAACATAGTTTAAATAAAAATCACCGAAATTTAATAAAGTGTAAGAAGCTTTTTTTTTCCTCCGACTTGATCACTGCACTCTTACGACAAAGTAATCACGTGACTATCAAGAACCTTTCTGCTGTTTAAAATGCCGGGGTTTTCTGTGTCACAAGGTAAATTTCGGTACGTTTTTTTTTTTTTGTTTGTTTTTCTTATTCTTATTTTAATTTGTGAAATAATGTTATCTTCTAGCAATTCAAGTAATGATGTTACAAAATTAAAAAGAAATAGACATAAAAGGTTGTTCGTTCATCATAATGATAAGACTGACTGACTTAACATTAACAATGAATAAAAGAAGAATAATGCTAAAAATATAATATTAAATGAGAGAAAAAAAAGATAGAGAAAATACGACCCAAACAAAAACAACCGCTATGCTATTTTCTTTCAATCCAACTATCAACGTTAAAAAAGGTTTCTTTGTTTCTTTCTTTTTAGTTGCCCTTTCTTTCTTTTTTTTTCCTTCGTGTTCGACTCATTTTTACAAGTGTTTTTCTCTGCATTTCTCTAGGAAAAAAATTGTTGTTTTATTTTTTGTCATTATGGATCTTATAGCGATTTATAAGAAATGTTTTTTTCTTTTATTGTAGTTAATGTTTATCGGCCTGCGTGAGAGCAGGTGGTTGTTTGTTAGAGAGAGCGAGAGGAAAAAAGCTTCGTGTGCGGCAAAAAGCTGAACCTAAATCAAGAGGGCAGGTCTCCATCGCCGTCATCATCATCTTCATCACCACCACCACCAGAGCCGCAAAACAAGGAACCAGGAAAAAAGAAAGAAAGCAAAGAGGAACACAGTCCAACACAGAGGATTATAAAACGAAGCAGCCCAGTCATCATTGCCCTCTAATTATTATTATTTAATCATCTAAAAAAAACAAAAAAAAAAAAAACAAAACGTTCAATCAAGTGAACTTACAGACATTGCACATTAGTTTCACAAATTAATATTTTTAAGTAACAAAATAATCCTTTAAAAAAAAAAACGACCCCTTTTAATTTCATCCAAACGAAACAGCGTCAATATAGAACTGGTTTTTATTTTTATATTTTAAACTCCAGTCAACGGAAGATATTTTATTTTCTATAAAATCTTTTCCTGGTCGTTAACTTTGAAAACCATAGTGAAGGAAGTAGAATTTACATAAGTGTGGTGTTTGTGTGTGCGGCAACACCAACAGAAACAATGATGACCGACGTATGAATAATAATAATAAAAAAAAAATAAAATAAACACCACTTATGTTGGTCAGTCTGTGGTGAAAGTAACGAAAAACGGGGAAGGAAAAGACTGACCCGCCAAGCTAACCCGGAAAAAATAAAAAAATAAAAATAAAACAAAATGGTCAAGCCACCAAATGAGTCCGGCACGTATAAATTAGTCGTGGTCGGAGAAGGAGGTGTTGGAAAATCTGCCTTGACGATTCAGTTCTTCCAGAAGTTGTTTGTTCAAGACTATGATCCGACCATTGAAGATTCCTATATTCAACACGAGGAAGTGGATGGTGTGTGGTGCGTCCTCGATGGTAAGTAAAAAAAAAAAAAAAAAAGTACCGTATGAGGAGACTTCATGATTACTATGAACTAAAAAAATGATTTATTACTTTGTAAAGATCTCTACTAGGATTTTCTTTATTCAACTGCACCTCCACTGAAATAATTTGTTTACGTCTGTGAATGTGTTTTTTTATGGTAGGTAACAGAAACAATAATTTGAAAGTCGTATATAGTAACTTGCAGTTGAAATGAAAAACTCTTAGTATCATTGATGTCAAAACGTCGAACTTGTAATTAATTATTATGAACTTACTTAATGAAGACAAAAAAAAAACAAAAAATAATTCATTTGCTTTACTGAAAATGAAGATTTATTTATTTAAAAGTAACATAGTGTTCAACTGTTCATCATATTCAATTCCTTTGGCAAAATTCGAAAAAATTCTTAAAGTGCATGTTTAACTGTTATAGTGTTATTGTTCAGCGTTAAATTCAATACATGAATTTTAAGTAAAATTAAAAATGATTATCAAAAACATTGTTGTTTACGTAAAAAAAGATACAACCTGTCCGAATAGTTATTTATTTACTATGCCTAGTTTGACACAAGGCTACATATGGGGCACCCAGTTAGGATCGAATTCACTTATTAATAATCAGATTAGCATGCCAATTACTACTCCACGTCGAGGTACACTGTACTTTTTTAATTTTTAACAGTTGTTACATTTGGCAAATGAAATATGTGTACAAATGTACCAACTATTATGGGCTGGGTCTCTAATCTCGGAGTTAGCAAGAGTGAACTAACTGTGACTACTGAGTCATGTGTTCAATCCTCACTGTTCCCTATATTGTGGCCTTGTGCCAAACTAAGCTAAGGTTAATCAATGATAAAGTAGTAGAGTACTTATTTTGTAAGGTTTATGCTTCTACGTAAATTCAGTTCGAATTAAAAAGTGAAGGGGACTTACAGTCTCACCCTAAACCTCTGTCATTCCTAAATCCGAATCCAGATCACAAAAAAAAAAAAAAAAAAGATCAGTGTTACAGTCTCATGGATGAGAAAATGTACAGAATAGTTTAGGGTCATACTTTGTTTTTTTAAACTAGAATAAATTAAAAAAAATAAGACAACCAACATCTACCTTCCTGAAAACCTTATGAAAATAATTTGTTAGTACAATAATACTCACTATTGTAGTGACATAAAAAAAACTGTAAAACAAAATAATCCTGTGTGGTTTTGCCTATGGCTTAAGTAGCTAGTGTGTTTTTAGTAGTGACTTTCTGGTAAAAAAAAAAACTACAATATTATCAAAAACGGTTTCATAATTAGTTATTTGTAGTAATGTCTTACTGATGGTACTAACTAATATTTGATAAGTTAACAATATTCTCTTATAGCAATGTTAGTAAATAAATACTCACAAAACTGTTTTTTGGGGCTTGACTACTGTCTTCCCTGGGCACACGGTCATGAACATGTGTTTATCAATTCTGTTTCAAAGCCATTGTCTTCCCCCATGACTGTGGGCCCGGGGAAAACAACTTTAATTAAAACAGTTGCAATTGAGAGACATGTGCAGTATAGATAATTATGGTGTTGAAAAATGAATTTAAAGAAAACCTAAGAGTAACAAATAATAATTTAAATAAAATAACCTCACCTATTAGATCCTTATTCAAAAAGAAATTATATTCAACCTAGTTATCTGTCTATATTTCTGAGATGAGGTATTATGTACACTATTTACATTATTCGGACTATTGTTCTCATTTTTGTTGCCATATTTATTACAACGTTTCGGCCCTTAAGTATATTTCTGAGATGAGGTATTATGTACACTATTTACATTATTCAGACTATTGTCCTCATCTTTGTCACCATAGTTATTACAATGTTTCGGCCCTTCAGGATCTGTCTATATTTCTGAGATGAGGTATTATGTACACTATTTACACTATTTACAGACTATTGTCCTCATCTTTTGTCGCCATATTTATTACATTTGTTGAATTTTATGCTCAGCCTTCTTCAGGGTGGTTGGAATGTCAAACTGAACCTTTTTTGTTCACCGGGGTAGACTGTTCTAGTTCCGTGCCATGTATTTTAATGGATGTCAGTTATTGGATATCTCCTATTAATTCCCCTCTCCGAGTTCTCCACTGCCTTAACCGGGTATTGAACTCACACTATTTGGGTCTTATCATGGGATCTAACTAATACCTTTATCCACTGTTCCATGTGTCCTGGAACTAGAACAGTCTACCTCAGTGAGCGAAATAAAGGGTTTGGTTTGACATTCCAACCACCTGAAGAAGGCCGGAGCATACAACGCCCGAAACATTGTAATAAATATGGCAACAAAGATGAAAACAATAGTCCGAATAGTGTAAATAATCAATCTAGTTAGAATTAATGGTAGATAAAATAGAAACAATAACTCAATTATGGTGATCTGATTGTTCAAGGATGCCTGAGGTGTACTTGTCAAAATATTGTGATGAGATTGCATCACTATTTAATCAATTAGTAATAATTCCATTTAGTCAACTGCTATATTCAAGTTGTCATCTACCTCCAGGACTGTGGGCCTGGTAAATAGTAGTCAATCCAAAATTATTTTTAGTGGGTACATCTGTTTGATCTTGCTCTTTTGTGCAGTGTAAAGGATCTGCCTTGATGTCCAAATTCCTCAGATCAAACTCACATCATTTTTGCCATCTCCCACCTCAAGACGTCAATATGGATGTGGAGGGAAACGGATATTACACTATTTCTAGGGAGAATTACTGAAGAGGGATTGTCACTTTCATTTTTAGATAGAGGGCCAAAATATGGTGATTCTAGACAAGTTCAAATCCAGATAGATGTTATTCCATTATTTTCTGTGGATACCATAAAGAGTTAAGATATTTGCTGTATCCATGTATTAAAATGAGTAAACTTTGGTGTTTGCTTATTTCTTACAAATACTTTGAGCAGCTGCTGTCCTGTGATATTAAAAGGGATTTAAAGTTTTAATATATTAGTTTAATAAAGCCTACTGGAATTGATAAACAGGTATACAGTACTGATAATTACGCTGATAAAGAATGGAATCAAAGAATAACGACCAATAATTTAAATAAGATAACCTTGCCTGTCATTGTGCCAGACCTACCTTCAATAAACAATTCAACCAAGTCAGAATTAATGGTAGATAAAGTAAAAACAATAATTCAATTATGGTGATCTGATTGTTCAATGAGGCCTGAGGTGGACTTGTCAAAATATTTTAAGATTGAACTAATATTTTAGTCAATTAGTAATAATTCCATTTAGTCAACTGCTTTATTCAAGTTGTTGTTTGTCCTAGGGACCATGGGTCCAATAAATGGTAGTCAAGCTGTTTTTGGTACAATGTAGAAATTAAAAAGCTAAATGTTATCTACTGAGCTAATGAGTGATTATTGTTTTGTTGGCTGAACAAAGAAAATGAATTTGTGTTTCTGTGTGCTTACTTCTCTAAAACTGAGAAAAATTCAGTGTTTTTTTTTTTTATGCAGAAATTAAAAAAAGAGAGATGTATAAAATGAAATCAAGTAATAATTATATAGTCACATATACAATAATTATATAGATACTTATATTTAGACAGCAATAATTCATAAACAAGGTTTATTTTATTAAATTCAACTGACAAGGTTTGTCTGTTTAATTTTTTTTAATCCTTTCACCTCAAGAAAGGCAATAAAGCCACTAGGACACAAGGGGTTGCTGAGTGTGAAAGACTACCAAAAAAAGAAAACATTATTAAGGAAAGAGAGAACAATAAAAGAATGGGACTTAAGAAACCAGGAGATAACAATTGACATTACATTTAAATTTTGGAAGATCAAAATTTACTGGAAAGCAAGAACCTGGAAGAGAATTCCACAAGCTTTTTACAGCTTATCAACCTCTTGCAGGTTATTTAAAGCCAGAAAATATTTTTAGATTTAGAAATTTTTTTTTTTTTTTTTTTTGAGATATGATTTCCTATACAAGTTCTATTAATTACTCTATAGCCGGTGGGAGAAGGGTATTTGCATGTAAGTGAATATAATGAATCTGCCTGGAATTGGAACTTGGCTCTCCAAACTCCAATTACACCACTGGCACATCCAAATTTACAGTATCTGATATTCCCAAGTAGTTGCCCACCTAGGTACTGATCAAGCTCAGTGTTGTTTAACTTTGATGATTTTTGTGACGTACAGTGGCCGTTAATGATTAAGTATAACTCGAGCCTTCAATGTTAAAATAAAACAGTATTTAATTACAACTGCAAATAAATACTTAGCAAGAACAAAGAAGTAAAAGTCAACCAAAGATAATTAACCATTTTCAGTAGCACAGCTCAGCTTAGCGTCTGGTAAATCTTAAATCAAAACCAAATCATCGACGTACAATAATTCACGCAAATTCAACTGGATAGTTCCACTCAATAGTCACACCAGTCAGTAGACTGACACTGCTATTTATACACCTGGTGGAAAACTTATATTCATAAGTCTGGAGTGTTATACTTGAACCTCAGTGTCAGTAGTTACTCATTTTCTTCCTATATGACAGTGATTGTGTGGGTGTTATATTCCATGCTAATAGGAATATATACTTGAAAACACAGTGGATAAAATAAGTAAGGCTTATTATAAAAACCAGTACAATACGAATAATGGTAACAGTTATGCACAAGGTCATTGCTAGTCAATCCAGTAGTGAGAGCTACTATTGGATAAACGGGGTCAGGTAGCTGTTTCCCGAGATGGAAATAGCCTTATCTGGGTATCCTCTCTGCCTCCTGGCAGAGAGCTCGACCAGCACAGCTGGAAAAGATTCCATCTAGACAGTATCTAGCAACTGCCCCATGCAGTCACATGTGGCACAAGGCCAAATTTAAAGTGGGGTTCCCAAGCCTGTAGTCTCAGCCAAAAAATCCCCATAGACCCCGCATAAACAGACTTGGGTCTGTTTACCTCCCTAGACGAGACTCTGTCCTTC